TCTCTTTTTTTTTTTTTTTTTTTGCTTTCTTTCTTTTATACATTTCAAGTCCAATGTTTAATATGGCAAGCTAACTATGGCATACCTTCAAGACTATAGTATAAGCATCAGGAAATAAATAATTAGGGGGCATTCACTAGGCTTGCAATTATCTTGCAAAACGTGTATGCAGACAAGTTGAAATGAGATCCTCCACGTGATAGCTATTGGCAAGGCGGGGTTATGGTAGATGTGCTGGATTATCCGTTTTAGCATTACCACCATCCGCCTTCTTCTAAGGTTTTCTCTGTAGCTTCAAGGGAGAACTGAAAACTGTATATCTCAGAATCACCTTCAGTGAATCAGCCTAGGTGAGAGTTGGCCTAAGAGAGATGCTGGAGTATGATCTGGAAATCTAGAGAAAAGGAGGAGCAGAGCAACGTATGGATAATGGCAATGACTGAAACAGTCTCCAGGTGAATGTGAGAATCCCCGCACAGGTGCTTCAGATAAAGAAAGTCAGTGAGAGATGCCTAGGTGTTCCTGTGATCCACAGAAACTTTCCAGCAAGCTGCTGAGAATCACCGGTTCAGTGCTGAGGTTGAGACTGGGTGGTGGCAGCACCTCTAATTCCTTCCATTAAAACTCTTCATTACTGGAATACATAGAGTGCCTTCTATTTTCCCCATTCAGACTGACATGGAGCATTGTCCCTTTTTGTTTTCAAACCTTCTCCACTCCTGATTTTATTGTTCTGTAATTTAAAAATAAAGAATGGTGGAGCAGGAGTAATGCAATTCTTTGACAGAGGCAGGCAAGTATCTCCTAGCAGCCTTAGCACAGGCTTTGGAAATGCATGGCAGTGGTGAACATTTCCAGGCCATGCCTCTACCTGTACTTTTTCTCCTCTTCCTTCCAGCTCAAGGCCACAGTTAGTCCTACCTACATTTGCTTCATATGCACTGGGTAAAGGACAAAAGTCAGGGGTGACCTGAGAATTAAGGGCACAGGGTTTGATTTTGTTTCCCTTGCCTGTTGTTGAGTTGCTCCATCATCCCCAGTAATTCTTGATGTCTCCCTCTGTTAAATGGGAATAATATTTGCCCTCCCCACTTTATAAGGTTTTCTTAAGGATGATATAGTTTACATTCTAAATAGAAATGTTTTCCCCAAAAGATACAATGCCCTGTACAAATGTGAATTCTACTTCTAAGAGCTACTAGGTAAAGAACGGCAATACCTTGCATGCTAGGGCATGTCCTGTACTCATAACATATTTAAAGGGACATTTCTCCAACAGATATTTTAGCACTCCTCATAACATGGACACAGCCAAGGACACAATATGTAGATTGTCACTAGGGAACAACTGAGATTACTGACACATCCCCGTGTCCTCCTCATTCCAAAGATATGCTCCAACCCAGGGCAGCATTCTCAGAGAGAATTCAGGTGGACCATTCTAAATCCATGTGTGTACCACAATCTTTACCTTACTGAGAGTCTGACCCCTTCCTTGAGAGTTTCTGTTCTAGTAAAATAATTCCATCAGTTACTTCAATTCATCCTATTCCCTTCCCTACCGTCAAACTACCAATGCTTGAAAACTACAACATTAAAATAATCAACTATTTAGAAGTTAGGCTTTGTGACTAAATGCTCTCTGGTAATGAATCAACACATATGACACCCATCCCTGATGGTTTGGGTTTATGAAAGCAACAGAATTGAAGTCTGAGGTCCACACAGCTAGACCTTTCCCTTTAGTGTGTTCACCCCCAAAGGAGGCAGGGTCTCCTTTCTCACATGCAATCAAGTTACCTTGCAGAGGTGACTAAGATACTCATGCTTCCCCTGGGTTTCTATTACTCAGTCTTTACTGAACAAATATATATGGAACTCCATTTAGGTAGGAAGCCCTGTGCCAGGCATTGCAGATAAGGTGGTGAACATATGTAATCACAACCACTCTTTCCAGCAGCTTATGGCCCATCTAGGAAGATAGTCCCTGAACAGGGAACACTGGCCTAATATAAGTGTGTAGGGGGGATCAGGGGAGTTTCCTTTGGAGCTGTGATATATAAGCTGATACCTGAAGAATGGGCAGTGCCAGTGATATCAAAGAGAAGATGAGGCTGGGCGCGGTGGCTCATGCCTGTAGTCCCAGCACTTTGGGGGCCCGAGACAGGTGAATCATGAGGTCAGGAGTTTGAGACCACCCTGGTCAACACGGTGAAACCCTGTCTCTACTAAAGATACAAAAAATTAGCCAGGTGTGGTAGTGCGTGCCTGTAATCCCAGCTACTCAGGAAGCTCAGGCAGGAGAATCACTTGAACCCGGGAGGCAGGTTGCAGTGAGCTAAGACTGTGCCATTGCACTCCAGCCTGGGTGACAGGGTGAGGCTCCATCTCAAAAAAAAAAAAAAGATGATTTGGACTTACTGCTACCTCTCAGGAAGTTTTCATTTATAAGGAGTTTAAGACACACAGAACCTGACCTTTATCATACAAAGTAGAATATGAACAATTGCACCTGGAAGATAGAAACAAATATCAGATGTAGCTATAGAAAGAAAAAAATCAACATAACTCAGATCAGTAAAAGTTTCATGTAGGAAGCAAAGTACGACATGTTACTATCCCTGTGATATATGGATTATCTATAAGTAACAGATGGAAGAATTGAGTCCCAGGTCTCCTGATCATTATTCTAAGCCTGGACTTCCTTTGCATTTGAATCTACAGTTTTTAGGACATGAATCTTGGGCCTATCATACTCGACATTGGAAGTTACATAAAAGGACAAGTAAAGGGAAAATGGCATGTACAGAAAAATAGCAATTTGCACATGAACTACTGCCCGCCAGTTTTTGTAGTTGTTGGTGCAGAAGGAAAAGAGATTGGGAACTGGATGAATAAAAAATTATTTGCAAATAGAACTTCCAGTGAGGACTGTATAGACAAAAGTTTCAGACATCATGGAGAATTTCACTTGAGAAAGAATTGATGTAATTTGTCCTCACACCATGAAAGGCCCCCTTCTGCATAAATGTTTGTAAGCTGGTTGCATGAAGGTATTAACAAATGACATTCAAATAGTTTCGTGATTTACATGATCAGAAACTTGAAATAATTCTCTTAAATATTAAAACACCGAGATAGTATTAAGTGGTTTCATTTTAGTGCCAAAAAATAATGACTTTCTCATTTGGGGAAAGCCAAGTTGATTCAAGCCAAATTGGTTTATGCCAAGCTGAAATATATTAGTCTCACCTTTCTCCTGCATAGATCAGTTCAATAATCTAGCTTTAATGAACTTCCTTGGTCTTCTCTTTATTGGTCTCCTTATGGCCATCAGCCCAAAGATCATTTGATGGTGCAGACTTGCTTTTATCAACAACCAAGTCAGCACTGATCAGGAAACCAATGTGTTAAATGTGTAGGGATTTTCTTCAGTAAAATTGAGATGTCTGTGTTGGCTCCCTTTAAAAAATGTCTTTATGTTTCTCTCATTGATGTTAGGCCCTAATATCATCCAAGAGCACTTATTTGAACTCTAACAACTTTAGGCATTTTTCCATATTCCAAATATTATTCCAAATATCTTAAAACTATATCGTGTTATATTTCCTTCCTTCAAGTCTCAGATTCTTTATATTACTGTTAAAAATGACAGATGATATTTGCCCTATTCCTAATGATTATCATCTATCTGATCATATCTCCCCAATGTGAAATCTCAATTTCATGGCCAGATAAGCTTTACAAGTGGCTGGGAGGTTTCTGAGACTTCGGTTTCTATGCAACTTATTCAATAGACTCTAAAGTAAAAATACCCTTATTCAAATACAGAAAACAATAAATAAACACATGAGGATATGAAGCTAATTTAAGAGTTAATTTGTTGCTCCATCTAGATGTGGTGTCATTTTAGGGAAATTCCCCCAAAAACAGTCTCGAAAGGGATGTATGCTTAAGACCTTCAAAAGGATATTCAGTGAAAGAGACCTGTTCAGACCCCTCAAAACACAGCATGTTGGCAGCAGCTTATTCCCCCAACTTTGAGCAAAATTGATTTTTTACAAAATTAACTAAAGTATATTTAAATGTAGAAAAGTTCTATTGATTCCCAGACACCAAAAAGGCAACACAGGTCCAAGCCACAGACACTGGAAATCCTGCACTACTCTCTTCTTCATTTCCTGCAGAATACAAGTATCCCATTTGCCCAGAGCCCAGATGGTGACTCGGAGGGTCAGGTTCACTACTTTCTGAGCATCTACACAGCCTGTTGTTCCACCTGCTCATCCTGCAATGCTGCTGGGATTACAATGCTGGAATAGTCCCTGTTCGCTTTCCCCTTTACATGTACAAGTGGAATTTCCTTCTTGGGGAAACAATACTTAAAACAGCCAGCTTAGGAATAAGACATTTTCAAATATTTCATGTCAGTGTTCTGTCTGCTTTTGAAGTTGAAGACTCTAGAGATGGCAACAGACATGCAAGGCTTTGGTAAAACTGAGTAAACCAAATTAACGCTTTGAGAATAAGGGAATTCAGCAAAAACTGCACATGGCTTCTCTCAATGTTGCCAGGCAAACTGGAATTCCTTTTAGTTAAAACGTAGAGTTCATTCATTTTGAAATTGCAGATGTCGTTATATTCTCAAACAATGATACTTTTATAAATGTTAGTGAGTTTCCCAATTTCTCTCCATCACTAATACTGGAGTTAACACCTCCTTGATAATTTTTAAGTACTCTAATCTCTTTATTTAAAGAAAAAAAATCACAAAATTATATTATACCGTAGATTTATTTGCCTCCTGAGTAGACTGCCACTAAATTCTGTTTAATACAGGTTAAAATCACTACGTGTGACAGGTATGGTTTTCTCATCAAGGACTTAAAAAGCACTGTGTTCTTTCTAAAGTGCCGAGGCAGCAGTAATGAGCCAGAGCTCTGTACAGCCAAGTGTCCCTCCCTGCACCCACTGAGAGCAATAAAATGCTGAGTTCCAACCTTGGTGACTGGTGAGTTCCCTGGAAGCAGAAGGCAAGGGCGTGTAGTGGAGCTTCGGGGAGCCGGCAATGTCCTCACTGGAAGCCTGTGTGACATAAACAAAGTCAACAGGAAGCAACACCAAATACCAAACTCCTCATTTACCTAGACTTGTCTCCTTGGGATCTAAGCTTGGAGAAAATTATCCACCAAGATATTTCTTAGGAAGCAAGAGTTATTTTTGTTGAGATAATATTCTGGTAAGTGTTGGGTAAGATCCAAAGCTTTGAGGGGCCTCGGTACATATGGAATAGCTCTAAGAAAAGGGGGCGGTTTATGTGCTGAAATGAAAGGAGAGGGAGGAGGAGAAAGAGACAGGCAGAAGACAGGAAAAGTTAAAGGCTTAGATTTCCATCAGGCCTTCATCCAGTAATTCCCACAAAGTAAAGGCTGGCTATAGGCAGATTTCTTTGGATACTAGTGAAGAGGTTAAGTTCTGCCCCTAGGAATAAATGGGGAAAACCAGGGCTGACTTCCATGAGCCCAGTGGCATGAAAGACTCAGCAGAATGAAGTCACCATAGGAAAAGATATAAATTGTCTTATGTTGTGCACTGGGGATTCTGGCTCAGTTTAACAACAGCAATGAGAAATACGTCTGAAATTTGGATTTGGGATGCAGTGCTTATCAACAAATGTGTCACTCCAAGGCCTAAAAGAAAATAACATAAGATACATCTAGGATGATGCTTTTTCACTGCATGCAGACAACTCTTTAACCATAGAACGGTGTCTGAGATGGCCAAGCTGCTAAGGCTCTCTTTTCAGAACCCAACATCCTTGTGAGCTAAAGCCAAAAGAAAGTACTTCAGCTTGGGGTCAGCTATCACTCAGAACCAATGGCCAGTATGCCACACTCACAGTGTGGTTGCTAGTAGCAAGAAGCATTATTACCACTGTAACTCTTAACTGAGATTCCTAAATCAAATGCAGCTTTTTTTTTTAATATCCCAAAAAGAACATCTGCTAGGATCAAAATCTGAAGCTTACAATCTTTCCAAGCTTCATGAAAAAGTAAATTTCATTAATGCTACATTTTTCTTTCCGGAGTAGGAAATACATTCTATGTGATATATTTGCCCTCCTAAAAGCAGGCCTTTTCTCCAAAGAGATTACCTATATTATAGGAATCAAAACTAAGTAGGAGATTAGACCTACTTGCTAGAAAAACCCTTTAAATTTCATTTCTGACATTTGAGACATTTGACTAAGCGGCTTTCAGTGGAGACTTACAGGAAGAGAGTGCAGCAAAATCAGAAGCTCTGTCCCTAGGTAGAAAACAGTTTTCAGGTAACACTTCTTCACTCCAGCTCCAAGGCAAATATATGGTGTTTCAAGTTGGATCCAAGACTATTGGGTCCACAGAAATAAAGGCTTAGTCATCAAGAAAAACGTGTTTTAAAGTAGGAAAGACTTTTCCACTTTTTAGCACACTACAAGAATGTGGAGCCCAAAATTAGATTAAAAATCAAATACTACAGTCACCAAGTATCTCTCTATTGGGTATTCAAGGTCTCCTGTAATTTCTACATGATGAATGAAACATGATGATAGTATCCTAAATATGACATCTATTTAACGCTTGAGGCAGGATATATGGGGTGAGGGTACAGGGGTCATCCTTCCTAGATCTATCATACTTCCTCCATAGGAAACCATAGCTGTCAATATTTCTGCTCCATCTCATCACTTTAAAAAAAGACCCAAAAATCCAATATGAGTTTTAGTTTGTTGTGTTGTGATATTTCTTAGAACTTTTAATCTCGATTTGGGCTGTTGACAATTTGATGACAGCTTTTTTCTACAATTACTGGAACAAATGCCACCTTTTCGGAAACACCTCTGACTGTGCCACACATTAGAATTCTGTAACCAAGCGTAAAAGAGATATTTAGTTTTGTTTCGTATTTTAGGTAGAGCAAAAAATGGTGTGGCTTCTGTTGTTTTGCAGTCATCATTCTATGACCAGCACTTAATTACTTTTCTGCTCAGTGTCCATTGATAAACTCACATCATGGAAAATAATCCAGGAAAGAATGATTTTGCAAACTATGCCTTTTGGTGGGACTTCTATGGCTGGATGTTTAGGAAAACGACTACAAATCAATGTTCCAACTATCAGCTCTTTGACTTGGCTTTTTTCAAAATGAAGCCCATGTGATCCTTTCAATAGTGATGTTCACTGAACCTTAGGATTAGAAGCATAATTCAGAAAGACACAATTATCATATGAAAGAAGTGGGCAAGAAAATGTCTTACATTTATACAGTATCTGCCAAAGAATAAAGAACTCGCCTTGAAACTGAGGCAGTATACCCATTGTATACTGAGTATGCAGTAATGTAAAATTTAAATAATGTTTTCTTTTGCCTGGATTAAGAAGATATGCCTAAAATGAGAATAAGCAAATCTGAGTAAATCTGAATCTTGAAGATTATAAAGACTCTCAAATATTTGAATCCTTGGCAAATTTGTTGTTGTTATTGAGACAGAATCTCACTCTGTTGCCCAGGTTGGAGTGCAGAGGCACAATCTCAACTCACTGCAACCTCTGCCTCTCTGGTTCAAGCAATTCTCATGCCTCAGCCTCCTAAGTAGCTGGGATTACAGGCACATGCCACCACATCCAGCTAATTTTTGCATTTTTAGTAGAGACAGGGTTTTACCATGTTGCCCAGGCTGGTCTTCAACTCCTGGCCTCAGGTGATCCACCTTCCTCAGCCTCCAAAAGTGCTGGGATTACAGGCATGAGCCACCACACCCGGCTCTTGCCATATTTTGTAAATGCCTATGGCAAGGAATTATAGTTTTACATTTTACTTTTAAAATTCTCCTGTCAGGAAATATTTGCAATATCTATAATAAATAATTAATATCCAAATAAAAAAAAGAATGTCTTTAAATCAATAGAAAATATTATAGAAAAATAGACAAAGAAAATGTCTGGAAATTCAAAGATGAGAAAACCTGAACAGTCAATGAACATAAGAGAAGTTGCTGAAATTCACTAGGACTAAGGGCAATGCAAATTAAAACAAGATATGATTTTTCCACTCATCATATTGACAAACTTTTAAGTCTCACAATAGCAAGTACTAGTGAGAACAAAGGAAAAAGAAACTGTTATCCTCTCATTCCTTGCTAGTGAGAATGTACATTGGTTCGACTGCTTTGAAGAGTAACTTAGCAATATCTAATAAAATTGAAAATTGGTGCAGCAATTTCACTTAAAATATATACTCTATGGAAAATCTCACATGGATCTGCAAATTGAGACATAAAACAATGTTTATTGCAGCATTATTTATAACAGAAGAAACTGGAATTAACTCAAATGTCTGTCGATGAGGAAAATAAATAAATATAATGTTGTATGTCAATAAGACCAAATAATATTTAGTATTTAAGAGAAACAAACCTGATTTCTATATCTCACTTAGAATAGGTCTAAAAATGTAATACAGAGTGAAAATTCAGGTTGCAAGATGATAAATGTAATATAATATTTATGGAAACATAAAGTTTGTTGATTTCATGTATGTATGGAAATATCTAAAAATTATAAAAAATATACACTAAATTCATGAAGAAGATTGCTTCTGCCAAGGGGCAGTGTAGTAGGACTGGGGCTAGTGGGATGTGGAGAGAGGGGAACTTCAGCTGTATATATGATGTTCTTTCTATCATTTAAAGAAGACTTTAAAAAAATGTCAAAGTATTAGAAACCACAAATTCTGGATGATCCCTACATGTGTTCATTATTTTTAAAACTTTTCTACATTTTGGAAATTTCTCAGACTTAAGCCTGAAATTTTTTAAAAAACACCAAAAGGCCCTATTTCTTTTCTAATCCATGCACTCCTATATTGACATGAACCCATAATGAGAGAAAAATTCCTGTAACAGTTCTCTAGTACTTGTACAACATGGATGAATGTCATCTCTGATTGGCTTTTTGTGATGAAATATCCCATTTCTGTTTCTTCTAGAGCTACTGAGAGTGAGTTCTAGAATAGAAAAAAGCAGATGATGGTAAATATGTATCCCCTTCCCCGCAAGGCTTGAAACACTCATTCTGGCCTTATAAGTCCTTCTGCTGAATATACATCAAAGCATTCTGAAGGTTACTTGATTCTTCTCCTGCTCACAATCAAAGAGTTACCAATAATTTTTAAAACTCACATCAATAAAGATAAGAGCCACTAATATACTGCACTCTGCAATATCCATAACAGAAAGAAGGAAGGTAGAACTTTGGCAACCTGCTTGGAGAAGATTCAATGCACATACAGTGTATTCTACAACAGACTTGCAAAGCGAGAATTTCACTCAGTGATTACCAGAAATGATAAATGCGTAAAATTCAAGCCCCTTTCCAATGGGTGCATTCAATGAAAAACTGCAGTCCGGTGGATATTTCTGAATGTCATGGACGCTCTGAAAGAACTTGATACAGACCACAGGAGAAGAGATTTGGCAGACTTCGAAACAAGAAGGGGCCAGCTACAAAGTTGTTTAATAGCCATAAATCTCCCACTATTTTTCACAAAATACCATCTAAGACCACAGCTCCACAACTCATTCCCCATCACTCAACTCAAGTGGAGTGCTTTGGCATGTTCGCTCACCCTTAAATCATACACCACAGAAAGTGATCCCGGGTCTGGGAAATATGTCAGCCTCTTTCAAGCAAAAGCAATCTTCACTTTTCATCACAATTCATTCCCTGAAACCATGGTATAAAGCTGACTCTTCTAAAAACATTTATTTTCTCTCATAAGAAAAAGCATCACTCATTTAGTTATCAAGTATTTAATAACCACCTACTATATGCCAAGCCCTGTGCTAAGAATACCAAGAAAAATAAAATGAGAACATTGGTTGCATTCCTGGGTCATAAAAAAAAAAAAAATCATACTATGATTAATACTGGTTACAAAGAGCCATCAACTCATAGCGTGTCCCTCACACTCCCATACTCTGGATTATCACAGAATGTTGTCCCTGACCTTGATTATGACATCTAAACCCCTGTAACAGTAGTTAT